ATCTCTAGATAGATTCGGTGCATGTATATTTTGATATAGCGTTTGATTTTATCAGTTATACTGTATTTATTGCAAAACTACACAATGTTGGTTTAGATAAGGCATTGATTGATTAGTTCAAATGTTATTTCTTGAATCGCAAGTAGACATTGCCATCGAATGATGTTTTGTCTAAGTGTTTTGATAAATTCGAGCGTCTCTCAGCGATCTTATCTGGGTCTTTTTCTATTCATTTATGTTGACGATTTTAGAAATTTTCTTTCAAATGTGAAGTAGCTCGTGTTTTCCGATGATTTTAAACTTTAAAAAAGTTAAGATTGTTTCTGATTGCTAAGTTCTTTAAAGAGATATAAATATTCTCCTATATTAAATACAGATAATAAACTTACTACAAACATTAGACGCTGTGATTTCATTATCTAGATCTAGGGAGACTGTTACTTTTATTTATAAATTTTAGGAACCTCGTTGACTTAATTTACAAAGATAAACGGCTTATCAGTTGTTTTAAAATTTTTTTTGACTAGTTATTAGTTGAGTTATTAGGACTTTAAGTACGCTGAAACGATGATTTTTTTTATCTTCTCTTTAGTTCTCATACCTAGGAACTATACACGCAGCAGTCAATAATTGATTTTAAGAAGTTGCAGCACAGGTATGAAAGATTCTTAATTTACAGATTGGGCGAGCCAATGTCTTGGACAGATTTGATTGACATAAATCAAGTTTGTCAGTACAATGTTCATTTATTGCCTTGCATATAGATTCATCTCAGTTGAGGTGGAATGTGAAATAGTGGTGGATTTTTTCATTTAAACGAATGCAATTACAGCGTTTTGAACCAGAGAGTAATTTAATTGTAACTTCTTCAACGTGAAATTGTATACAATAGTCAGCATTTTCCCGTCTCAAAAAATTCTGGAACTTGTTCATGTTGTCATAAATGATATAAGTGCAGAAAAATATTAATGGATTGGAAAAATTTTTTGAATAATTTATTAAACGTTGGCAAGTACTTTATTTTTGCGCTATCAGTTTATTGTTGATGTGATTTTGCTTTGCATAGCATTAATAAATAGTAAAGGACTATTTACCATTGATTATTTTTCAAACAAACAACAATTAATTTTTCATAAATATTGACGGGCTAATTCTTAATTAATTACGTAATACTCCTCTTCGTAATGGGAGTGTAAATGTTAAGATTAAAGAATTTGACAGTCTGATTTTGTATAAACTTTAGTAGTTATTAATTTTAATTTAATATTTAAAAATAATTAACTGTAGAATCTGCTTTGAATAATGGCATTGCTTGCACTCTCATGTCAATACTTTTTTTCAGTTTACACAAATTTATTAGATTTCTCCTCTGAGAATCATTCGTAAATTTACTTTAATTGACATAGAACTTGTTTCTCAATATGTCTTTCTTACTAATTTATTGTAAGTAAGTTTTTAAAAGTAATTAATAAATGATTTAAAAATATTTTGTTACAACATAAGTGTAATACGATCTCCTGGCACTTTCTAATTTATCTTCTACTGCTAGGTCTAATGATGCCATTGCTGTAGTCTACGTATTTTCTGATCCATAATAACGAAAACTCAAGTGATAATCGATGATTAGCAATGATTTAAAATACTTGTATGAAAGTATTTCAAAATTTGATTTTATTTAGTAAAGTATTACATTTTTTAGACCACTCAATAACAAAAAAGTGAAAATAAAGTTTTTTTCTAATATTCTCATCTCTTACATAATGAAGTTGATTGTCGGTCTTAAACATTATTGTAATTTATTCTGGTAAAAAGATTAAGTTTGGACACACTTTAAATTGAAGAAACAAATGAGTTAATAAAAGTATAACCTACAATTACGAAAACTACTTAACAAATCAATTGATTTGCTAATGCGATTCTTAGGTGTTTTTAAAATACCACCATTAAAAAACATTATTATTTATGTTTTTGTACGCTTATTGTTGACGTTAATCAATTTGTCAAATAGACATTCGACCATGTATTTATCTGTTATAATAAAAATTTTATTTGAGATCTTGCTACAAACAACTTAAATAATCGTATGTAAGAATATTACAGTTAACTTTAATTTATTGATGGGTAAGTTTTAAATGCGAGTAATTGAATTTATCGACATTTCCCATCGAATACGATATTGCTAAGGCAATTTGACTTTTTCAGTTAAAACTACCGTTTGTAGAAAATTGTCATACGTAGAAATTTAGAAAAAGTGCCACCTCGACCAGAACTTAAACCTAGAACTCTTTTCTTTCCGGGAAAGTGCATTACTAATTTCGCCATCGAGGTCTCGGCGATTCCTCTTCTCAATTGCTACATTTCATATTTTTTCAGTGATTTTTCAGTCCAATGCCTTGCTTATATGGTACTTATGTTAGAATATTAGAATTTACTCTAATTTATAGATGGGTAAGTTTTAAATGCGAGTAATTGAATTTATCGGCATATCCCATATAATACGATATTGCCAAGGCAACTCAACTTTTTTAGTGTAAACTACCGTTAGTAGTCGCATTTAAAACTTACGCATCAATAAATTAGAGTAAATTCTAATATCCTTACATACTATATGGGCAAAGCGTTAGACTAAAAAATCGCCGAAAAAATATAAAATGTAGCGATTAAGAAGAAAAATCGCCGAGACCTCGATGGCGAAATTGGTAACGCACTTTCCCGGTAAGAAAAGAGTTCTATGTTCAAGTCCTGGTCGAGGTGGCACTTCTTTTGAATTGCTACTTACGACAATTTCTACAAACGGTAGTTTTAACTGAAAAAGTCGAGTTACCTTGGCAATATCGTATTTGATGGGAAATGTCGATAAATTCAATTACTCGCATTTTAAACTTAAATAATCATTTATGACACACATACATTCTTCAAGAATGAAAATTTCTATTTATTGAATATGTAATTCAACAATCTTATAGTCATGTGCATTAGTATGTGTGCATGTTTGGTTTACTCATATACATGGGAATAAGCAAATTAATAGGAACCTTGATGCGGAATAGTCATGTTAGGTCCTGGGTACACGATATGTGTTATACATACTAAAATTTGATGTCGAAAGTGGTGACATCGAGAACCTCTAAGTATACACTGAATACATAGAGAGTCTTAATGTAGCACCACTGTACTTCTTGATTCTGTATGTAAGATAAATTAACAGCCCAAATACCGAAGTAAATATTTTTGGTATACGTTATTCGGGTGCACAGGGACTTATATTAACCTACTAGCGTACTTACTTATACGGTTAACTACTTATCCCAATAGCGCACATCCAAAATATTTACTTCAGGATTTGAGATGTAAATTTTTCTTACATATAGAATCAAGAAGTATAGTGGTGCTACATTAAGACTCTCAATGTATGCAGTGCATACTTTAGGATTCTCGATGTCGCCAGTGTTAACATCGGATTTTAGTATGTATTACATCTTGCGTGTACCCAGGACTTACACTTGCTCTTGTAAGCTTAGTTTGACTTAAACTTGTCAGATTTTATTGTAACGAGCCATGCTTACAGAAAAAACATTTTTATAGTCTTCTTATTTTCATTCTTTAAATACCACATACCTACCGTTTTACAATTTTTTAAAACATATTAAGACTTTTATACTGTGATACCCACCATTTTTTTATTTTTATGAGGGACTAATGAAAAACTATATAGACTAATGCCGCTGTCAGTGGTGCTTACTTTACATATTAGTATTCATGTTTACTCACATGTACATTAAGCTTATCTTTTAGTTAATTGAAAAAGAAGGAGTTGACACATTGACTCGGACAGAACTACAACAAGCATGTAGAGCTCGAGGCATGCGAGCTTACGGAATGCCAGAACAGAGATTGCGAGAGCAGTTGTTACAATGGCTTGACTTAAGCTTATCAAAAAAAGTACCACCATCATTACTTCTTCTTTCAAGAGCTCTTATGGTGCCAGATACCATACCTATGTCAGACAAACTAAAAGCAACAATATCTGCCCTTCCTGACTCAGTTATTGCTCGAACTAAAGGCGCGATTGGAGAAAAGGAAGGCAAACTTGATCATGTAACTAATATCGAAATCATTAAAATGGAAGAAAAAAAAATAGAGGAGGAGAGAGAAGAAGAAAGAAAAATTAATCTAAGTACTGTAAAAAAAGGAAGTGATAATGAGGCAAAATCATTTGCAGCGTCTGAAATTACAACAACAGATGTCAAAGTATTAGAACAAGCACTGGACTCTATTGGAAAGGTAAAACTTATTCATGCATCTGTAGTGTTTTTTTCTTAGTAGTCTGATGAAAAATATAATTTTTTGTTGTATTTATAGATTTACTATATAACTAACATAGCACAATTTAATTTTAAATATAATTTTATTTGTAGGCTTAAAAAATTTATGTTAAGTTGTAAAATATATTATTATAGGTATGTTGTTGTATGATGTTAAAAAAGTGGTAATTGTTAAGCAGCTTTCGTATTTTATTCTGTTCGTTTCCACTTACAGTTTCTGTAGTTTTAGGTAATAATCTCATCGAAAAAGACCAAGAAAAAATTTTAATATTTTTTAACGAAATTTTAATCCACTACCTCCTCGACTATCTCCTGCTAGAAAGCTATTACGCTTACTACTAAGCCATTGAAGCTTCCTGCACATCAGCTACTTGCAATGTATGACAAAATTCATCCTCACTTTGTCTTATTAAACATATGAAGATAATAAAAAAACTCAAGTTCAAATTTATAATAACACACTTCAAAATTCATTTAAATAAGAAAAAATAACAAAAAAATTAATTTTGGTTGAGAAGATTCAATACAACAACAAAAAAATCTATTTCCCAGGGCAATTTTAACACAACCTATTATTTTCCCAACATATGTTATACTGCTACTGCACCAGTTAACACCTTTATGCTCTTAACACATGATCTTATAGTGGTGACTGCTTTAACGATTGTAACCACAGCTTAAACTAATTTTTTCTCTAAAATAATCAGTATTTGTTGTAGCCACATAGTAAAGGCAGCACTGAACGTGCATATAGCTTACACGTGTTGTTTTAAAATTTTTGGCTTATTAAAACGATCCAACGAGAGTGCATGTATACCGATTATTTTCAACTATAGTATCCACTTTACATACAAGCTTTCGTACGGAGACTTTCTTAATAACTTTTTAGAATCGTAGTGGTCGTGATAGTAGGAAAATTTTGAATTATTGTGAACCTATTTCGCTTCTCCATCCATTTAAATATTTCTTTAAATTTATGAAAAAATAAACAAAAGCCAAAAATAATGTGAAATGATCTTGTCCCTTTTGTCTGTAGTTAACATTAAGAAATACGCACACATAGTCAAGGTATATTATATTCACCCTTCACTATATAAGTACTTAGTCTATAAGGTTATTGTGAGAATTCCTTAGTGATTCTTTCAGAGTTTTTTTTTTTTTTTTATAATATATTGATTCGAGTCATTATAACCAAGGCTGCATGCCTAAAATAGGTATTTTACGATATAAATAATACTTACATGCTACACATAGGTCACATAAAACACCCAAGTTGCTTTTACTTACAATTCATAGCAGTCATTAAAATGACCGTGAACTAAGTTAATACAGTTTGAACATGGATTTCATGCTCTATACCCATAAGTGCAGTATTCTAAAATCTACAGTATTCTTACCTTAATCCAAGCGTTATACGCCTGACTTGCTTAACACTATTAAAGTACCAATGGTGCTCATACTGTAATAGAAAATTTTCTTTCCGTATCCAGTTGAAGTGTAGATTCTCATCTAAATAGTATTGAATCTGCTTGTACATTAACAAATTATATGTCTAGAATGTTGAAAATAATATTTCATACCGTACTAAAGTGAGAGACAACAACAATAATTATATAGTTTAATTATTTTGAAAGATATCTTTAACCTGACATTAAGATATATAGGCTTATGAGAATTCTTCTACGTTAACCTAAAGCCGTTTTCTAATCATAAGACCTTTTTTAACAGTTTAAATTTATGTTTTGACTTGCCTGTTAGATTAATAATGTATTGGTGTAGTCATCTCATGCTTAAAGTTTTATTTGTTTCTAATATAGTAAATTGCCATGCCTTGGTCAAAGGCAGTGCTAAGTCGTAATGCGTTCAAAGAAAGTGTTAATTCAAAATCATGTTTAAAAAAGTGTTAACTCAAATATACTTTCATGGAAAAACTTATTCAGATTTTGACTAGAAAAAATTTTAACTAAATGGTTTCTTTTAAATATTTTATAGTGGCAGTACTATATGTTTTTGTATTAAATGAAACAAGAAGCACAGATTTTTGTTTATTACACCAACTGTCGAGATAAACGAAAGACTTAATTATCGGAACAAGTATTTATGGAAAAAGAGACCATAACATACGTTAAAATCATATTTATTGCAAAACGAGATCCGAGTAACCTAACATTTTGAGGGTTATTTATTTTATTTTCAATCATCACATAAGTCACGGGAGTAAACAGAGAACCTCACCATAAGCACTATTTGGTAAGAAATTTTAAATTATCGTTTCCGTGAAGCTGATTTTGAGTTAGCACTTTTATAGACGAGGCGTCGATTTGTAAATAGTATGTATTACCAACATAAATTAAGTTTGTTTTCATGCTTTTTCTGTTTTTTCAGTTGTTACACTACTGAATTACTTTATTGCTACATATTTTTCAAAATTTTTAACAGGAGCATGTCGTTTTTCAAATTGATAAAAGATATAAAACTAGTGGCCTTGCCTGAGACTCACTGAATGGAACACCGTAATGTGTTAACACGTAATGTTAAACGTTTTCAGTTAAAAATTTCACATCTGTTCTTGACACTTCTTAGAGCAATAACGTCTTATTAAAAATATTTTTGTTCGGAATCCATGCAGTTTATTTGCTATTACCATTGCCAATTACCAGAACAACAAAGTCCTAGGGCTTCAACTCCCAATTGTTTATTGCCACAATGAATAGGAATACATGTTATCCTACTAACTGAAAAATTTGGAAGATTTAAAGGATTACTATCATCAAAGTTATAATGGAAAGCGGATCTCTCACGTAATGGATTCTTTATTTGTCGATTTTGACACTGCTGTTTCAATCTCGATAAATGTTCTGCGTCAGTTTCCTGACGCCTACAATTGTAAACATTTGAAGTTTTCCTCCAATTTGCTCTCTTTCGACTATAGGCGTAGTTAAACCTTTTGTGAGCCCTATAGGCTGTTTTTTGTCAATTTTGTGTTGTTGTATGTATTTGTTGGCAAAGAAGTTTAACGTTTGATTGCCCTGGGAAGAACCGGTAGGCTGAACCCTCTACCCCTATGCCGTGTGGCTCTTACCCTGGAACCGCGTTTGAGTTACTTTAGAATGTACCCACTAGTTGCTAGAGTTGCCAATCCTTCTAAGTCCTAAAAAGGACTTAAGGTCCTAAGAACTGGCACCTGTGTCTAGCCCTCTTTTGTAGGGTGCATTCGTTACAAACACACCTGTATGTTCGATGCTTCTCCTAGCTGGCAAGTGACGTGTACTTAGTGCAGCGTGGGTCCATATTAGCTCATATTCCTTTAAAGAATTTAGTCTCGTTACTTTTGTGCCACTTAGGTTTTTCTCCTGCACCTTCTAGCACTTGTCTAAAGATTAGGCAGCTTCCACTGCTGGCTTCGTGTTTCATGTCTCCTGTCTTGCAAAGGAAACATCGTGCTGTACCACTACAGTCTTTTTTGCGGTGGTTGCAGCTTCCGCATTTGAAACCCAGTTTCAGTTTCTGATAACCCTCTTAATGGATTTTTTGATTTCTGCTTTTTCGATAATACTGTCTTAATCTCGGATCTCAAGCGTCACTTTTCGTGCAGTAGTAACAACCGTTCCTTCGTCTGCTACTGACTCTTCCACATATTAAGCAAATTTTGCGACATCCTTCACTTCTTTGGCTTTTAAGAGCAAGTCTACTTTCTTGGTGGCAAAGTCTCTCTGGACCACTGCACTGGTATTTTCAGGGTTAAAGCCTGCCTTCATCGCCGTAAGTACCCCAGCGAGGTTTAACCTTCCCTGACCTTTACCGGGACTTTTGTCATCGTGCCAGAGCTTTTTTTTTTTTAGCACTCCTATGACTAGGAGAAACCTCTTTCTTTTTGCCATTCCAGGCTCTTTTTTTTGAGGTTACAGAATTTTGACATTTTTCAGAGCTTTCTAAAGGACTCCTGTTTTGCTTTGTCCTTGCTATTTCCTTTAGGGTAGTGTTCAGAGTTCTTTTCTGTACCCACCGACGGAAATGATCTCTTTTTTTTTCCCATAGTGCAATGATGCAAAATTCTTCTTCCACCGTGTACTGAAGAACTCCTGTTTGACACTTAGTTGTTCTCTTATAACAGCAGCTCATTTGAGCAGCTTTTAAGCCATCCTTAACTACGTTGACTGTGTTCTCGTACTTTTTGTAAATTGCTTTAAGCATCTTTTCAATCTCTCTTGTGGCTGACTGAACTTGCTCTATCTCTTAGTTCCGCCTCGCTCTTAGATCTGCGTTATCCGTTTCCATACAGTCAAGCTCTTCTTCTGTCAGATTGCTACTGACAGTAACGCTAGATTCATCACTCACGTTACTGCCATTACTCGAGAAACTTGTTCGTCCTCCTTTATCTAATAAAAGCCATGGGACATCTAACAGTCCCTCCTGGCCAGGAATAGCCTGCGACCGTTACCCGGGTTTTCATCAGAATGGAACTGCCGGTAGATTTCCTCTGAGAGGTTACCGCCTGGAGTACAAGTTTTGCATTAACGTTCTTCATTTTTCGCATATTTTTCAGTGACGTATTGACTTGTAAAGGCCAGCACTACCCTTTTTTTAAAAAAAAGATTTGGAAAAGGTTACAACCAAAGCATCAGCCCTCTCCGTGTCCAGAGAAGGGTGCTACTTGCTGAAACCGGCCGGGAGTCGCCACTCTTCCTCTGTCCCACCCGTGGAGACTGCCCTAGCGTTGTATACAAAGAGCGAACTCACCAAACGAACTGGCGTAAATGAGGCACTAAAAGTGCCGCCATGTAGCCTCCCTAGTGATAGTGAGCCTAGATTAGTTAGCCAACCACGTCTTTTTTGTTTACGAGGTGTGTAGCCATATCGGATGAGGTTACCTGACATTATCCGAGCCTCATCATCCGGCTTCACCCACTGCCAGGGCCCCCCATGCCAGCCAGAGGGAGATCCCGCCACCCCCAACCTGAAACAACTAGTGAGTATACCTGTGTTTGTTTAGTGAGAGTGTGTTGACTGCCCTCTTTCCACAAAAAAGAGACTACTACTACGGTTTGGGCCGTTGGCAGAGGCTGGTTGCGACCAATAACTCTGTGCTTGAGCGATAGTACTTCTCAAGATAGTATCTTTCAGGATAACCTACCCAGATCAGAGACTACTTTTCAGGCATGTGTTGGGGGCCGCAACGGCAGCCTTCATAGATGGAAAGATCCAGATAAGTCAGTAAGGATACTGGAATGAATTTATCTATTGCAGACATGGACGTCGACGCACCGACCAGCAGAAACGGGATGACTCTGTGATACAGTCATTTGTTTGTGGCTCCACCGTAGTGGCCAAGACTGGTTAAAATGCTAAGCTTGACGGGAGTGCAGACAATACGTTTGACGCCCTCGTCGAAGCGATCACAGAACTGAGGGCGCTTGAGATGAACTACTCTAACATGGCGAAGAATCATAAAGGACAACGTCATGCTAATGGCGACTGCCTTTGGCGCCCTTGAACGTTATCAAGTGCGGCTTGAGAAGGCCGAGAAACCTTCTTCGCAGTCTGTAGCAGCGAAGAAGGTGAAAAGAAACCGAAGGGGGAAAAAACTTAAAGTACGAAAACAATGCCTGAAGAAGCGCTAAAAAAGGCAAGGGGGCCTGGCTCTCAGCCACACCCTGAGAGTTGTGCGTTTGACGTGCAGGCAGGAGAGGAAAAATGGACAGAGATCCAGAAAAGAGAAAGAAAGGGAAAAGTAGACAAACAAAGTCCCCCGAAGCTGAAGTAAAACCCAAAAAAATCCCCCAGTAGAGACGTCAAAGGGCCAGACCTGAGCCAATGCCATGGCGGATACCGGCAGCGACACGACACTCACCCAGTGCCTGACCTGAGAGATTAGGGGCATTGATCCAACTTTGACAAGGCGGGACGGTAAGGCCCTTCTAAGGGGCTGTTACGACGAAGGAGGGGCCCTGACGAGGCTGTGCGACTGTCCTCTAGCATTGTCAGAGGAACCCACATCGCCTACGTCGGCGGCAACCGTCCTTGATAAAAGGGACCACATAAGGCTGGGCTGGGTAAATTTACAGGATACGGCTTAAGTACAGAAATGAGCGCTGCTTTAGATGCCTGAAATTCGGCCAGGTGTCACTCGACAGGACTGGGGCATGCTGTAGGTGTAATAGTAGGGCCATGTGGCACGGGACTGCTCTAAGAAGTTAAGTTAACTTTTAGTTTCACCCTAAAACCGAGTTAGCATGACTTTAGGGTGGAGCCACCAGGAAGATCATCATATCTTACAGCATTAGCGAGGAAGCTCTTAGACTTGAGTGTATTCATCGATCATTTCTTATTCTTACTAAAAAAAAAAAAAATTCATAGAATAGATTGCAACTACACTGAAAAAAATTTCTCACGAGTCCAACTGAATGTGCCAACATTAAGTTGTTTTAGCGGTATCCACAGTAGTTGTTTGCTGCAAAGATAAAAAATCAGTGTACTCTGCTCTTTTGGCATTGTTCGTCCGTACTAAAATGTCACACCCTCAATCTAGAGTCGGCTATACAGCCTAAATAGCATGAGTGCCGTGCCACCTGTAAGTTGTATGAAATATTTGCAGTAAATAAATACTTAAATAGATGCATATTGTTTGTAAAACATGTCATTAAAGTAGCCTAGTTTTAACTTCTTTTCTAGGTTAAGTTGTGGTTCGATGGAATTAAATGAGCATAAGCTTGAAAAATAGACTACTTTTATTTTTGTTATAATAAAGTATTAATTTTAATTGTTTTCAAAAGTTAGTAAACTTAAATGTGAGACAGGTTTTTAAATTTAGAAACGTCATTCTCAGTACATGAATAAAAATACAAGTTATGGAAAGCTTTTCAATGCGAATAGACTCTTTTAGTTATTTTAACTCATAATCTACATCTGAGGTTTTTTTGGAGCTAGACAACTGAAATTTAGTACAATGACAGTATTAAATGAATTATAATGAGTATTAAACTTTGATTACTTTATATGTCAAAGGACCTGAGATATACGATAGCAATCATGGGTGAGAATGACCGATGGGGTCCATTTTTTTCATAGTTCTCGAATGGTATTACATTCACCTTTTGAATTTTAATACGTCAAAATTTAATTACTGGATTTGATGGTTAATTTTGTTGCATGATTTAACAAAATTAAGTTAAGTTTTAAGTATTAAGGTACAACAGAACCTAAGATTTATATAATAAGTTCAAATCACTAAGGCAGGCTATTCGCATTGAAAAACTTTTTCGTAATTTGTATTTTCATACGTTTACTCAAGAGTGACACTTCCCATTCTAAAAATCTGCATTACATTTAAATATACTTTTGTAAAGACAACTGAATTTAATATTTTATTACTACAAAATTAAAGAAGTTAATTTTCTAAACTGATACTCGTTAATTTTTCATAAAATCACAACTCAAAATGTTAGTAATCAAGATTAAGCTTGTTAAATAATATGTATTACAAACTATTTTCAGTTTATTATTCATTACAAAAACTGCATACACTTAATAGGTGACATGACCTCCGTAATGCTCTTTACCGTAGGAGACGAGTAAAGCCAAAACATCAGAGTACACTGCTGCTTTAGCTTTGTAGCAAACTACCATACTGTGGTAACCACTGTCACATGTTCATAATTTTATGGATTCACACCCATTCAGTTATATATTTTGTTTATATTAAAATCACACCAAAAAATGCAAGTATCTTGAAAGCCTGAGAAAATACAATAAATAAATTTTATATAGATGTTAGGATTAAAAGATAAAACTTATTTTTGATTACAGATATACGCAATGCTGCTGCTAATAAGTTCAATAAATACAATTTGTGTGCATACTATAAACATTTAGTGTTGCAACAATGATACAACTCAAATATATTTTAGGTATTTTTAAAATCATAACTAACTTACTTATAGGGTGGTCCATGTCTCCCTAGTTCATTAATAATTATTATATCCCTAATCATGTGATAATCAACGTTTCGGGGCGGGTTTTTCCGTGGAATTTTCCTTCAGAGTAATTCCAGGGTTTTTTCCTTGCCCTACAGGTTTCGGGCCTGAGTGGATGCGAAATAGTGTTAAGGCTATAGGTAGAGATTAGCGGACCCGATGCCAGGCGTCGGGCAGGGATTGCCAGCCTTACTGGTGAAGAGTGGTTCGTGAAACATGGGGCCTCTCCGGGGATGCTAATTAGCCTGGATCCGATGCTTCGGCAGAGAGCGCCGGCTTAACCGGCGAGGTGTGGACGTCCTGAAATAATAGAGTCTTCTTCGGGGAAAGGCTACACAGTGTTATTAATAATAACTATATCCTTAATCATGTGATAATCAACGTTTTGGCTTACATAATGTGTAATTTAAGTTAACTGTCCCAACAAACCACGTGACACTAGTAATTCATATAACTTATTTTGCACTAATTAAACACCTAAACAAAACATACAGCTGTATGCAATACAACACAGGATACATCTTTCATAAAAAAATCAAGAAACAAATAAAAAATTAATGGGTGAGACCAATATTAGTTAAAAATTAAAATTTGTGAAGAGTTATCCTTGGAGAAGAATTTGTGGTAGGCTGTGATTGATTAATAAGAGCTTAGGACAAGGAATTCAAGAATGTGACAATTAAATCAACATCAGCATTCATATCCCATTCTTCCACAACTTTAACTTTATCAGATAAATTTTCATTATCCTTTAATGCATAAACGACCTCCATATCCAAATAAAAATTTTCATCCATTATACTTGCTACATTGTAGCTATGAATTAAATGTACTTGAATGTATGAGAATTGTTTTTTGCATAACTATTGGGCATGAGCCGTCTTGACTAAACAAACTTACAATGTATACAATATAACCTTATACTTACCAAAGCTGTTATCTACTCCGACATATGTAGCAATAAAATCCATTAACTCTCCTGTTCCACCTTCCATAATTTTATAATAAGGATATCACTTTTGTTGGAATTCAGATAAGAAAAAGTAAAGTAAAGACCACTGCAAAAAGCAAGGTAAAGTAGTTGATTTTACTGCGAAGAGTGCTGCTTCTCGATTTTGGATGCATATACATACTACCTACAGTACCTGACCCAAATTCATGGTGGCACCGCTCACACTATTCTTGGCAAGTACGCCTGCCTAACTTTTGTGTAGTGTGCTCACCAAACACTTGGTGCTGCTGCTTGCTAGTTTTGGGTAGGCTGCTTACCCAAACCAAGAGAGCAGACGGCGCATCATTTGGCTGTCTCACCCACAGCAATATTGGTATGTCCGCTATCTCAACTTTTTTCCAGTGTATATATAATTTAGCTTCACTCTACCTTTATACTGTGAAAATTGCAACGTGGCTATAATAAGGGTTAAGCTGGGCCACTCTTACAGCTAAGGTACAATCAGGTAAATAGTGCCTGACATAAAACGTCGCTTGATCTCTTCGAAGTCTTAAAAAAAAAACATACAGGAAAAATCGTTTTCCTTTTATGTTTATTTATGTACGTAAATAATCATGCATGAAGTGTTACATATGTATAATACAACCTAACCTTTGAAAACAAGGGAAAACGCTATATCTCGAAAGAGAAGCAGAATGATAAGAAGGAACAATTTTCACGGGTTTCCTAAAGGAGGATTGCGTAAGCGAGGCTCACAAATGAAAATGGGTTGGACTGTACACAAACATAACCTTAACTTATTTTTCTTTTGACAGTATTTTTAAAAATCGTATAAAACAAAAATTTCTTATTTCGTATGCTATGCTTGAAAAATTAGTACGGATGTTTCCAAAATCTTAGAAGAATTTTCGTTACAACATAACCTCCCAAAATTAGACAAACAGTTGTATCTTGAAAGGGAAGCCAGATATGGTTAGATAATAAGTCCACGTATAGAAAATAAGTGTTAAGGTGCAAAAATATGTATTATATGGATTCATACAAACAGTTATAATAGTTCTAAAAATCATAATAGTCACATTTCAAAAGGAAAGTTACATCCTACATATTTTACCTATTGATTTATTTTCAATTCTTTATCGTGTGTTACAAGAGTAATTGTTCTGTGACCAAAATCTATATTCTTATTATTAATTTTAAGATAAGTAGAAACTTCTAAATTACGGGTAAACTTTAAAATTAAATTACGAATAAGTACAGTAATCGAGTTAAATGAAAAATTAAAACTTTAAAATCGATAATAGCTATGTCTATTGTTTTGCCTAATCTCAATCCAATTGAGTGAATTCCTTTACTTTTATGGTAGCCAAAATTTTAAAGAATCTTCATTTGTTTGTTGTTCCAACATAAATTCATTGTACATGTATGGTATCAAATTGAATGTACAAATACTACATTGCACACCTATAGAAAGCGAAAGTAATGTACATTCCATGACCATCAATTTGTACATATATTCATACATACTATATCACAGCAAACATGAAAGTACTTAAAATTCTCAAATTACGTGTAACAAAAGTAGTATATTAAAGTATATATAATCTATGTGCATGCATGCTTGAATACGTTATAATATTGAAAATTTTACTATTCTAATATCAGATTCTTAAAGACCTAATAAAATCATGTGTACTCTAACTTTCTTAGTTTCTACTATACCAAGTTTAACAACATACGAGTTGAAAATTTTACTTCTGACGGGCGTCCCGAGATCCACATGTGGTTTTTTTGGATGCACCTTTATATTTATGCTGCACCCACCCCCACACAAAGGTGGTGAGTGGGTGGCCCCCGCGACTAGGCCAGTTGGCTGCCGTAGTAACCCGGTAGAAAAAAAAAACTGGAAACATTTATTGTTTCCAAAAACGATAACAAGTTTTTTTAAACTTTTTTTACTTGTCCACGGTTTCAACTTATCACACTCACGCTGTGAGAGTGATACTTCTCCTGGTAATTTTTAGTAATGTGACAACAGTAGTGTGCTCTGTTATTATAGTCTGTTATTAGTAGAAGCTACGTACGCAATGAATCTTCTTTAGTGAATAAGTTCATGATAAATAATTTTATAAAAGGCGTTTTAGTAAAATGCATCTTGCGTACATGTTCTGCAAGTTTTATGTGTTATGTACCTTTAAGATTGCTGCAGATCCTTATGATGTTTCTTTTCAAACATTTCCCATGATTACAGTTTTTTTTTTTTTTTTTTTTTTTTTTTTTTTTTTTTTCAATTCTGCAACCAACAGTCACTTTGATTTTATAATTAGAGTTCATGTGTTTATGTAAGTTGTGTACTCCGAAACAGTGTCAAAACTTGACTGCAGAAGCTTCAATCTATGCAAAAGTAGTATAAAGATACACAACTAGATTCATTGTATTAAGAGAGCAATAGTCTCCGTAATGCAGATCCGCATAATTTATGCTATTGCTGATTTCTGCTCTATCCTGCTATATCTATTTGCTGTTGCTGTCCCAGTTAGTAAATTAATGCTGTACCTTATTGTTCAATTCATACGTACAGAGATGTAAATGTAGATGATTTTTTACCGTTAAACAATAGTTTATCATTATATAAATATTGCCTTATCTACGATGAATAATATTGATGTATGTTTACTGAAATTACAACAACATAAATTTACAAAAATAATAACACAAATAATATTGTGCATCATAAAACTTGTGAGCTTTTTGATGAAACTCAGTCATGAAACAGTCACGATAGAATTGAAAAATGGAACTCAAGTACATGAAACCATAACTGGTGTGGATGTAGCAATGAATACACATTTAAAAATAGTCAAAATGACTATAAAGAACAGAGATCCAATACAGTTAGATACTCTTAGCTTGAGGGGAAACAACATCAGGTATCACATTTTTCCAGATTCCTTACCTTTGGAAACGTTAGTCATCGATGACACACCTAAGGCAAAGGCTAAAAAGAAGGAAGCTGCTCGAGGAGCCACAAGAGGCAGAGGAGCTTGAGGAGAACGTGGTGGCAGAGAAAGAGGCCAAAGCAGACGATAGTGATAGTAACATTAAAAACAATTAAATTCGATGTAGCTTCAGTTAATCATATTTTTTCACGTGCAAAGTGTTTAACACCGAAAATTTTTAATGAACCCATAATTAATTATTGATTTTTATACAATCAAATATAATGTTACTTAAGGTATTTATATGTACAATACTTTTATTTTACTGTAATGTCAATGGATCAATTGTTGTTTTTGAATCAAATTATTATCCTTTAATAATAAACAAGTGGCATTAAAAAAAAAAAAAAAAAAAAAAAAAACTACACAACAATAGATCATGACCCTGATGACCAGATCATCTAAGGCTTTACGGATAATGGCCCAATCACCACACGCCCACGACGATCCAGACTACGACGAGGCTAGCACACCTACAACTCCCACAGCTTTACAGGCGATTCCACCGTCATTATTTAGATTGAAGGGACGACTAGACTCTCTAGACAGGGATATCAGTCCTCCTTAACTTCCCCTCTCGGTTATAAGCAGTCCACCCCTACAGGTTGCTTTTAAAAATTTGGCACTTTGGACCATGCAACAGTTTAAAAGAGCACCACCACTGGTGACAGTTACAGTCATTGGACCGGAGAGAATACATGAAGGTAAGTGACAATTTTCCATTAATAATTTAATCTTACAAATCTATCGAGTTAATAAATTTTCATACAAGTAATGATGAATTTTCAATTGTCTGTGATAACCCTCTCCATTTTTCTGACAACAAACATCACAAAAAATATATAACCTCCAAGCGTATTGAAAAAAACAATTAATTAGGTAATGAAAAATTCATTATTACTTGTATGAATGTTTTTTTACTCGATAGATTCTTAGGATTAAATTAATAAAGAGAAATTGTCACTTACTTGCGTGCATTATTTCTGGTCCAGTGACTCTGACTATCGTCAGCGGTGGCGCTCTTTCAAACTGTTGCACGGTCCGAATACTGATGTTATTATTTACGGTATTCATCGTTTTTATACAAATGATGGTAACGTTAATAATAAAAGCAGTAATAATATTGATAACAATAGTGGCAAAGATAATTGTATCGATCAAAATAGTGGCGTCGATAATGTTGACGGTGATAATGGTGACAACAATGGTGGCGACGATAACCATTTTGACGGTGATAATCATGACGATAATGTTTGTGACAGCGATGTTGATGACATATGTGATATTTTAAGTGGTGGATGAGTTGATGATTATTTTAACAATAATAATGGTCATGATGATGTTGACGATGAAAGTAGTATCGATGATGATGGTACTTGTGATAATAGGCGTGGTGGTAGCTGTAGTCCTGCTAAGGATAGTAATGATGATGTTGACATAACGTTGATGTTGATGGCAATGGTAATTGTAATGATTTTAGTGATAAAGATAATAATGATGGATGTATTGATAGTGTTAAAAATAATGTTGACGAATACAATGGTGATAATGATAATATTATTATGGTGATAGAGATGATACTGGTGACAATACTGTTTACGAGCGCAGTGACTTAGATAATGGTGACTATTATGAACATGACCATAATTATTCTAATGATTTTAATGTTGTCCAGAATTATAATTACGACAATGATAACGATACAACTATGATAACATATGTGGTTGATAATGGTTAAAGTCATGTACAATAGTATCTTACGTAGTAGTATTAGTAGTAGTTTTGATCACGGTGCTAGTAGTGGTAATAGTTATGTTGATTAGAATGGTAATATTGATTACGATGATGGTGATGATAGTTTAAATTATCATGGTGATAATAGTGATACATAAAAGGCTATGATAATCAACAAAATAACGATATCAACGGTAATAATGCTAAAAATGGTAGTGGTGACAATAATGGTGGTGATAACAATAGTAGCGGTGGTGATAAAGATAACCATGATAATGTTGTTAGAGACAATTTTCTTTTATAGCAATGGTACAGAATTTGTGGTAACATAGATGGTTGTGATGATAATAATAAAATCTGTTTTAAGATTTTTGACGAGCGCAATTGGTGATGGTGCAGTTGATAATGGTCATTGTTGCGATGGTGAATATGATTTCAATGATGGTAAGTGTATTGTCGGTAGTGGTAGTATTGATGTTAATAGTTATGGTAGTTATAATATGTTATAGTGAATGTAAGGGCAACGATAATGACGAGTAAACTAGCTATAGTAATAATTATGATGATTTTTTTGATAATATCAGTGACCGTGATAATAGTGACAATTGTGATGTTGACAATGAAGTTGTATTATTAAAGGCGTAATAATGATTTTAATTTTACTGACGACTATGATTCCGGTTATAATGGATATAGTGATGGTGAAAATAATGAGTATGCAGTTAATGATAATGGTAATGATTATAATTTATGTAATTATAATGGAAATAATAAGGATGATTATGATGACGATGACGATGATAATGATGATGACGATGACGATGCTGATGATGACGTTGATGATGACGATGACGATGCTGATGATGACGTTGATGATGACGATAATGATAATTTTAATGACGATGGTGGTGAGAATATTGATGGTGACGATAATTTTGTTACCAAATACTGTAGTGACGATGCTATCAGCAGCGACGATGAGTTTGTCATGATTATAATGACGAAAATAATAGTTACTACGTTGTCAGTGATGGTTTTTTATTATATTATTTGGTTATTTTATTATTTGTTTTGTTTGCATTGGTAATGATAATAACATTAATTATACTAGCAATAGTGATAATGTTAGTAGTAAGAATGGTGATAACGATATTAGTAGTGATGATAATGATAACAGTTGTAATTGTGATGGTAATCTCGAAGTTAACAGTCGTAATGAGGATCGTGACTTTTATTTTTGTCATGATTTTTACGGTTTTATAGTAATGGGTATGATTCAGATGGTATTAATAGTTATAGCAACGATAGTAATAATGATTGTGATTATAGCGGTAATGCTGGTAGTGACGATAGTAATGTTGGCGTTATCGTTATTAGCGGTAATGATGTTAGTGTCACAGATGGTAGTGTTAGTTGCTGTGTTGTACGTTAATATAGTTATAATATTGATAATACTGATCATGACTATTGTAATATTGGTAATAGTAAATACAGTTATAATATTAATTAGGTGTTAATAGTAATTTTTGTTACAATGATCATGAATACGAACGGAGTAATCATGATTGTAATAATAATTTGATTGTTAGTATTAAAATTAATAATAACATTGTTAACAATAGTAAAATTGTTTATTGTCACGACAAGGATCCAATCGACGATTATAGAGACGAATAATGATGTTGATAATTTTCGTGACAACTACAATAATGACAATTGTAATAGTATCGATTTTAGTGTAGCAGAGAATTGTTACACTGACTATACTGACAATAATAATGCTACCGACGTTAATGTTAACGATTTTGATGTTTATAACGATGATAATGACGATGGTAATAACTATTATGATGAGACGATGGCAATGATGATTGTTTTGACGTTAATGAATGTAATGGTGACAACGATGACGTTGGTGCTGATGGTAATGATTATCGTATTATAAACGTAGGTGATAGTAGTGACGATGAGGATGATTATCACTGTGGTGACCATTACAGTAATTACATTAGTAATAGTGATTATGAGGATGAGACAATGTTGCTTTAATAGTGGCAATCTTATTGGTTCAAAAATTGTGGTCACTGTTGTAATATTGATTGTAAACTTGAAAATTTCCTTGGTCATAGTGATAATGGTTCAGTGATTAAAGACTGTCATTTTAGATTTTAGGATTCAAAATATCAGCCCAACCTTTATTATCGCCACGATTTTCTTAGTGTTTAATTTAAAATACTCACACAGTCAGTTGTACGTAGTCTTGTGACTTTATTGGCGCAAGCAATGGCTAATCGGTAAATATAATTATGAACAATGCAACTTCAATAGATGAAGCAATTAAAAAGCCATGTGAGCGGTTAATTTTTTTATTTCAATAAAATATTGTCGACGTTTTGCCCATCAAGACGGCCTATTCAGGAAATATTTACGTGTACATTCAAAATAAGGAATTGATATGATAAAATTTTTTTATGTTACTTAAACCACAACAAATAAAAATATGGCAATTTACCATATATCCTCGCCTGTGAAGGTGCCTCAAGCACTCCCCACAATTCGCAATCGGCATTTAAACTTCAACTTACATATTCATTCCTTAAAATAATCGTTTGTATCAGAAAAAAACTGTAATATTTTATACATCAATTTTGTAAAAGTTCTATACGATTTGGATAAGTTTTTTAAGTCAGACTTTCTACTAATACTATTAGGGTGGCAAAAATGTGTAATAGTTCTGAAAACTCCTTCTTGAACCCGTGCTGTTCCGTATTCAAGACCTGCATTTTCTCAAAATTCAACGAATGTCTCTCTTTATACAATGTCTTGCCAAAACTGATGTATTATCATTATCAATAATATTTTTCATGTGTTCCTTTTTTTCTAACTATTAACTGTCTTCGCAAAAACCAACATATACTACAGAGCTGTTGTTATCGGTTTTAATTGAATCTTTGACAAGTTTTATGATGTTCAATTTATCATAATTAATAAAAATTATGGAAAAGCCTAAATTATACAGAAGTTTTTCTAACAAATCGCTTGTAGTTNGCTTTTCTGGCATATTGGCTTAGTCGCATACTGAACTTTCATGGTTCTCCTTTCTTTATTCTCTCACGTATATGTATCTTAAATAGTTAAAGCAATTAAAAAGCCATGTATGGAGTAAATGTTTTTATTTAAATGAAAGATTCTCGACGTTTCGCTTCTCGAGTATATTATCAAATATAGCACTGAGTCTTCTTGAAGATAAGGTGTTCCCAGAATTATCGGAGTCAACATTGGTTTATAGAAGATATGTGGATGACTGCTTCTTAG